GGCGCAAACCAAACCAAGTTCCATTGCACTTGTTGCATGCAGTACAAACTTTGCATTTTCATTCAGGGTACTATTTCCCATGCCCAGCAGCAACAGATTTTTCCAGTTTATGTTGGCTGAAGTCCCCAGGAAGTCTGTTTGGTGGGAGGGGGCCCTGTTTGTGCTCTCTGAATATTGGTTGTTTCTCTGTAGGCTGAGGTGCATCAGAACCTACTCTGGTTCTTTGTTTCTGGTGTGCAAGACTTCACTGCCTTATTCAGGAATTTTGTACACCTTGTGATTTATGTTCACCTTCCTATATAGGAAAAATGCATTGAGCAGTGTGCAATTTATGATATAAAATGATGCTTTTTTGACCACTTAACAGTTTTCCTCAGAACTGAGCAGTGACTGAGGTATCCATTTGTCCCTTCGGCACCTTTCATATTGTGACAGAAGCCACTGTTAAATGCCGGATTCTTTTCTGAAACATAGATTTGTTATTCGTGATGGCAGTTTCACTCAAGAAATTCCCAACATTTTGTAAGACTTGAGGTTCTCACAGCGGTGAGTATGAAGATATCCGTCTTCTGGGTTATTGCGCTGTGTTCACAAGAGCCTACCACTGGTCCCTATCCTGAGCCAGATGAATCTAGTCCATACCATCCCATCCTATTTATCTAATATCCATTTTAATATTATCCTCCCACCTACTTCTAAGTTTTGGTAGTGGTCTCTTTCTTTCTGGTTTGCATCCCTCTTCTCTCCCATGTGGCTACCTACCCCGCCCTTCTCGTCATCCTCGACTTCATCAGTGTAATTATATTTGGCGAGGAGTACAACTTACGAATCTCCTTATATTCTTTATAGTTATGAATCACAAATCTTGATGTTCTAAGGAACGATTTGTGACTTAGGTTTTTTTTAATCTATTTTGCACCACACATCACTTTTTCATTATCAGAAGAATCACTGATATCTGTATGTGTTTTAGGTCCTTATGGTTGTGTGTGCGAAGATATATGTCTTGTGGGTTGTAGCACTGCGTAATCTGACCAAATAGGTCATCTGCTTGCCTTCCACCTATTGCTTACTAATCTTTCTGGCATATATGACAAGGGATAAGTATCTGAGGTTCTTGTGACGGTGTATGTATCAGCTGCTTAGTCTAGTACCAGCTTAGTTTTGTATAGTGTGGTGTCACGTGTGTGTATTCACTTCATTAATAATATGTAAATGTGATTGTTTTTTTTTTCAGGAGGGAAATGACCGTGAGAGTCCACATAGCGATGGTTCAGATCACGAGCAGGAGCAACGTGGAAGTCGACAGGATTCGCCACAGAGACAACAGACCCAAAGGTCTGAATCTCCCCAGAAATACCGTGAACCTGGTGACTCTGAGAGAAGAACGCAGTCCACCCGTGGTACCCCACGTAGGCAGTGTATGTTTTATAAAATTTTCTTTCTAAATTCTTAACCGTAGGATTATGTTCTACTATTTTTATACTGATAAATACTGTTGGTTGTAAGGATGTAAGTAGTTTGCTCAAAGTTAAGTCTGTAGTCGTACAAAACAAAATGTTATTCATGACTTCATGTTTCCATAGCAGTTCATTGCCAATGTAGTTCTTATCCATCTAAGAGTAAAGCGACTTACTATCCAGTGGTCCTTGTAGATACTTAATTGTGGAACTGCTCCATCCAGTATGTTAAGTTATAGTCAATAGAAAGTGAAATATCCTATTCATTCACCCCCACCTTCTTGTAAGAAGGAAATTGGTCCTTTGAAGATGCATTTTTCTGTTTTGGTTTTCTGGCTGCTACTCAGTGTACCAAATGGATCATTTCCCACTGATTTGTGGATTTGTATTATAAGCACAATAGTGGCCACTGGATAGTCACTTATGTTTATGTAAGGGTCTCTGAAATGTTTGCGTCGCTGTCACATTTATACAATGTATAAGTACTACTTGCTCTGATAAGAGATTTTTTTTAAATTTCATTTATATGTGATCCAGTGAGATCATCTTCGTTTATGATGACTTGTATAATTTTTCTGTCATTTTTCATGCTTTTGAGTATATATAGAACCATTTGGAATTAAATTTTTATTAACAACAGAATATTGGAACAAACTGGTACTTTCGTTTCTATGAGTTATAATCTGTCTCGTGAAAATTTGTCTGTAAGCAGTTTTTTGACATGCTGTGTATAACTAATGACTTCTGTAGCTACTGTATGAAAAATCCAAAGTTAGAAATTTTGGAATATGTATACCATCCCAGTAATGATTCTGTACCTTATTTCCTGTGTTGTCTTATAGTCACCTAGGATATTTCTCTGTGGAGATTGCGCGTGACTGTGTGAGTCTCGATATGTCTGGAAAATTAGATCCTCTCTACATGTCTTACATTGTTTCACTGTTGTCCCTGCTGTTCAGACTGATAAGTTGTGGATTCTTTTGAAATTCCTATGCAAGCAGACGAGCGAGATGACAGAGGAGGACGAGGCCATACATCCAGAGGGGGTGGGTCTGCCAGGGGCGGAGAGAGGCAAAGGGGAGGTCGAGGGGATGGCAGGCCACTCGCTGACAGGTAAGAACTGAATTAGCCGGTATGAGAGGATGTGTTGTACTGTAATTATTTATTTTGTACATTGGTGTTATAATTGTCAAATTCGGTCTTCACTTCTCAGCTTAACTCTACTTGCCTTTCTTTCTTTCACTATCCTCACCATTTTATTTTGAGATGCAAAGTTCTGCAACGTACCATTCTGTACATTCTTATATAAAAGCAACAGTTTGGGCTCTTATGAACTCTGGCATTCAGATGCACATTTATGATTTCCCACATCATCACTCATGTTTTATTTGTGGAAGGGGAGCCAGATTGTGGACAGCAGATTCAGACCTGTGGGTGAGATATTCAAATGTGTTTTTGTTTCAGCTAATTTCTTACATAATGAGAAATATCTTGGCTTGTCGCACTGATGACACCGGTTTCTGTCAACTGTACACAATAGCTGTGATGAACATACAAAATGGATAGTACTTGTTTATGGATTACATTGTAGATCAGTATTGGTATTTTACTGGGGGGGGGATTGCCCCAGGCATTTATTAACCCACGACTGGGTCCATTGTGTTCCCTGATCTTGTTATGGCCTTTCAAAGAGTCTTTTTGCGGCTCTCCTAATATTTATAAGCTCTTGCCATCCAGGGACAAAGATCTCTGGTCTATGCCTAGCCATTGATGGCTATTGACAGGGTATATGATAGGAGGCATTTCTTCTCCTGTCTGCATTTCCTGCACTTGGTGCATTCTGTGAGTCCCATGATATGTAGGTGTGGCAGCCCCTTTTTTGTAGTGCCTGTTCTGGTTTCACCTCACACACACCTTTCCCAAATCTGCCAGCTATCCTGGATTCATCCATATATCAGACTAACCCTTTGCACGAAAGGGTCATAGGCCATGTTGGTAATAATGTTCCTGTAATGGGATCTCTACTTTAAAGGGAGCCTCACAGGCAGTGTTTGGTGTTATTTTGTCCTAACTCAGCTGAAGAACAGGAGTCTATTTCTATTAGTTATGCACTGACTTGTTTGTGACCTATATCCAAACCATTTCCAGACCACAGCCCTGTATTTTTGAGTTAGTAAGCAGAGCCCCTGAGAGATTTTGGACCTTGGATGCAAATTGTCCAACTGTAGTGGTGCCAGACAGTTAATGTAAGTTGTCTGAGACCACTGCGGTAGTCTTTTTCCATTGGCATCCCGTGAGAAGCTAGGAAAACTGCCACCCACCTCGTGCGGGCGAAGGCTTGGTATGACTGGAGGTAAACTTCTATCACAAGGGCACTGCTTCCTGTAGATGAGAAAATTTATCTTCTACTTTTGCATTAGTTTTGTCCATTACATTCATTTGTTGCAGAGAGCACAAGCGTGATGGTGGCCCACAAGATGAATTAGGTCGCATGCCAAAATACCGGGAACACGAGACTCCTGTAAGTAGTACAGTACTTTGTGAATTTTTGTTCCTTTCGTGTGAGCCTTCTGCATTTGTAATGAAGATTGTTGAATCTGCTTGTAGATGCTAACTAGATTTAATTCTCTGCACTGTTGCTCAAGACAGTGGAAGTTTTTGGCATCAGTTTTTGGTCGGGTGCACTTTTTCACCATAAACAGATTATCATTGCGCTATATAGATAAAAACTAGATCTTGGGTCACATGGCAAGAAGCATCTTTACCTAGACAAGGTTGTGAATGAAATGAGCAGAAATTATCACAAGCAAAAACTTTCACCACATTGAATAGTTGTCAGGCATTTTTGAGATTATTACAGAAGCTTTACTGAGAATAGCACAAGATGTCATAATTTTACAAATGTTCTACTCACAAATATACATAAGATGTATGAGTTATAAGAGAGTGCTTTAAAGATGTCTGCTAGTAGAAAGCTGATTCAACTAATATTCGAAATTTTATACTTGTCATGTTTGAAGTTGCTGTATGTCTGTACCACACAGCATCAAGATGCAATAAATTTGATAATTGAATGTAAAAATTTAGTGGCCAAAATATGTCTTGAGGATAATTTATGTGGATAATTTAGTTTTTAGGCTGCATGATATTAAAATAGAGCACAAAACATTTTCCTTTTATTTTAGGTGCTTGTGTTTTTATTTAGTGAATGATTCTGATATTCTCAAGATTTTTATTTGTGTTACGTATTTTCAGAATTTTGCTGGCTCAAATAAGTTTGCATATCTGCCAGATGAAGAAGACCAATTGGCAGAAGCAGATTAAGAATGGCTTTGTGGCCTACTCTGTACAGAAGGGCTGCTGCTATACCAGCCAAATGGTGAGGACGTGATGTTTAGAGCAGTAATAAGCTACCGTGGTTGGTGACTTTACTGTGGAAATTTTGATTGCTGCTTTTCTAAAATTAGTTTTCATATATGGGAAATAGCACTTGTGTTACTTATATGTTACTCCCAGTATGTGTTTCACAACACACTAAAACAGGATTGGAGATTTCATTGCTACCAACATTATTGTTATGTTGTATATATATCACGTAATGTGGTTCTGTGTCCAGAATTTGGATTGTGGTGCTAGTTTTTGTTGTTTGAGTTTGTTGAAGACCAGTGCAATCTGATATGCTCTGATAATTGATTCTCTGTAAAGAAAAAAATTGTTCATACTCCAACCCTTAACCATCATTTTAAATTCAGTCTTTCTCCACTAAAGCTTGTTGCCCCCCCTCCCCAAAGAGAAGTTACAAAATTCCTGTTACCATACCCAGTCACATTTGGCCAGTTTTATAACCGCACAATTTTTAAAATTTTGTCAGATTAATTTATTACACTGAAGAAATTTTGAGATATCACATCTCATCGCTTTCACAGATTTCTATAAAATAGGAATGTATGAGACTGGTATCATGTAACAGGTTTTGGTGTGGTACAGTCAGTGGAAGATCACGTGTGGGGAGAACAATTACATGCGTAGTATTTCACAATATTTTAATTCCTTGTCTTGGTGACAGTAGTTATCAGTGATGAATGCCCTCTTGCCTAGAACCCACAAGGAATGTTTTATTAAGTATAGCAACACCATTGAATAACTTTGGAATCTTATGTGCAGGATTGCAATCGCCTTCCTTTAGTGGCAGATACAAAATTCTTGGGAGTCATCAGTGTGCCTGTTAGGTTTGTCTTTTAATAAGGAAAGCCAACAAGGCTTCCAAGTCTGATCTTTTCACTATGCAGGACAAAGATCACATTTCTGTTGGTAATTTTTTTTTTTTTAAATTCATACACTGAGGAATGACAATTTGTTAATACTTGCAAGTTCTTGAGTTTGACACTTAGCCTTTTCGATTTGGAATGTGGTCTTTGTATAGTGGCATAGGAAGTTATTGTTTTTATGGGTTTTTACAGTAAGTAGCATGTCTTTTGAAGTAAGGGTCATTACAATCTGTGAACAGCTGCCTCTCGCCATAAAATGCTCATCACCTTCTGCACTGGTTATCACCTACTCCGTAATTGACACAAACATTGGGAAGAAAATCAGCTCAACAACTTTGATGCCATCAGCCTGCTGGAGAATTTCCACGTGCACGTACCATAATCGTTGAACTGCGTTACGGAGACTGAAAACCGTTTTCGATATACTTATATATATATATAGCACAGTTTACTGCAATAACAGTAAGTGGTGGTTATGAATGATGTAAATGTATTTGTTATGCATTGCATTATATTAGAATACCAAAAGGACATCTTGAGAAAAAATAAGTCCATTTGCAAAAGTAATATCATGGATTACAGTATCATCGGCCTATCATCACAAATTAATGTTGCTTTTTTGACTTGGTTTATCTTGAAGATGAAATGCATGCAGGCCAGAAATTGACAGATGAAAGCATTTTTCATATAATTATGTAAAAATTATGACATATGTCTTATGATAATATATCAAAATGTCAGTGTTTAATTATGTGATGCAGCTTTAATTATCTCAATATTCAGGACATAATTGTTGAGAGGGAGTCTTAAGGTAGTGAGTGCAATTATAGATACACAAGTTAGCATTTTTATTATAATATGGTAATGATGTTGATAATTTCTTTTGTGCCATGTTAATGGCACAGTTCAGTCTATTGTTTAACCTGTATGAAATGAAAGAATTAAATTATGTGACAACAATCTTGGTGCCCATGTTTGGCTTTGAGTTAGTAGGCCACATAAGAAATGCACGGGCCAGTATCAGAAAACAATTCATATAGTAAATGTACAGAGTATGTCTAGCAAATGTGTTTGTACAGCCTCTTTGTTTTTCTTCACTTAAGATTAATCAATTTTAAGAGTATGCCTGAAAAGGATGAAAAACATAAAATAATTGGGGTGTAAATTGCACAGTGTTTTATTTGTTTTCCCATCTTTGGTGGTTGGTTTTTTTGTATCATTTGTTTTCCCTATTTTGTTTTTTTGTATACCTTCAAGATATGGTGAGTATAGAAAGACTTCAAGTAGATATCAAAAGTGCCATCAAGTACAAAATAAGTATCATTCACCATCTTCAAATATTCGATTTTCTGTGTTTTTTGTTGGAAATATGGTTCATTTTAATTAAAAGCAGTAATACAACCCAGCAAGTACTGAAATGCAAATTACTGAAACATTTTTTTGTTTTCTTTGGAAGAAAAATGTCACCGCTTTGGTCGGCATATGCGGCCATGTTTTTTTTTAATCGTTTGTAAATCCCAAAAACGTAACTTGTGTCATAAAAATGTAATTGATCTTGAAAGGACGTGGAAAAGAATGTTAGGTGCGTGAGTTACTTGCTGGAGTGGACCACAAATAGCAAAATCCTCTGGACAAGTCGGAAGCATTCTGGGGTCGTGCAATGGAGCATGCACGTTAAATTGTGGATCAGCTGGTCGCAACCACTGAAGACCATACAACACATTTAGACGTTCCTGACCGAGCACGTGTGACGAATGAGTTTGGGGGATGCAGCCTCGTGGAGCATGTTGAGCTTGGAAAGAC